TGAGGGAGTTAGTCTCAGGGAAGTTGGAGCTCACATGTAAGAGCAAGCAGGAAAAAAAAAAAAAAGAAAGAAACTACAATAAAATGATTAAAACCCAAGAGTAGAGAAAGTTTCCACTACAGTTCAATCTAATGATCAGAGGCCACTGAAGAAATTTCTTTAGGAAAAGTACTGTAATAAAGTAAACATGAGAAGAAACTGCAAAAATAATAATAACATTCTGTCATCAGAGTCTGTTACTACGTGGCAAAATTTGTATTTCTTTCCTGTCGGAGACTCTTTGTCCCTGATCACGGATTATTGGGGGGCAGAACAGGCAGATTCTCAAGGTGGGAATGGCGTCGGTGAGTGGAGATTCCTAAATAAAAGGGGAAAAAGGGGAGCAGGCGCAAGGAAGACGCGGGAATGGGAGTTGGGTGCAAGTCTTCCTGCTCTGACTTCAGCAGAGGTTTATTTTATACACTTAAGCAGGCAGAGAGATGACATTAGCATGAGCTGAGATCACAATCACCTTTTTTCTAAGAATAGTCTGGGGTCATTTTGACCTTTAGTTGAGATTATAGCATTTTAAAATCAATCTATCAAGGTTAAAGCGGGTACATAATTCACAAAGTTTAAGACTAATATTACTATATTTATCACAGTGAAGATTAACCAAAATAAAGTCCCTGAAACATTATCTGTTACTTAAAGCTTTCATTCTCATAGAGACATCTTAGGGAGTAAAGTGAGGGCAGGAAGAGGAAATTTCTTGTAAATCAAATTACTGTAAGGTTCTTTGAAAAACTTGTTAGAAAGTTTAAGTGAGTTTTCTTGAAGTCTAGATGGTAGAAAACCTGATTAGCTCTGAATAGGCGACTTGGGTGAATTTCCTTATCTAAAGACTAGATAGTAGGAAGTTTGAGTGGTTTTTTAGAAACTGAATGGGAGGCTATGTGAGATAGTATAGTGATAAGGTTTGTGTTTTCCTCTGTCTGGCAGTGAGAGAGACTTTGCAGTAACAGCCATTTGTTTTTATTAATCAGCCAGTTGTCAAATCACTTTTGACTTAAGAGGAATTTCTCACCCTGGTGCAGTACTTGCTTGTCAGGGCCAGGTAGTGCCTTATGAGGCTGAGGCAATCTAATTGTAAACTGAAAGTTGCTCAGAATATTTTGATATTATGATTATAAAAAAAAGGGAGGTCATAACATAAGTTAGCGTGGAAAGTCTGATTTTTCAGAGCATTTCCCCTCCATCCATATCATGTCTGTCAACAGAGGTTGCATAGCTTGTGTCACTTTCCCATCTTCTACCAGTGTTGGGAATCCTTCAGTACAGGGGCTGACACTTCTTTCCTCTCTCCACCCTTCCACTTCTCCCTCCATCTTTCATTTATCTTCTTCCACAGTGAGCTCTACCACACATTAAAATGGGCTTCAGATAAAGTGGAATTTCACCATTTTTGCACCCCAAGACATAGCACCTAGTACGCAGTAACTGCTCACTGACTGTTGGCTGAAATGTGAATAAATACATATGTGATCTGCAGGGGTCATGATTAAAAGAGACAATAAGTGGAAAACAGAAAAAGAACACTGTGCTAGTGATTATTTTGTGAGAAATGTGGACACAGTAGAAAGGCCCAAAAATAAATTACTACTAGCTTGAAGTACTAACAAAGATAGTATTACTTGGTAATTTTGTTTATATCCCCAATTTTTCCCAACCTTTTTTTTTTTGGCCAAAACTATAGTTTTTGACTTTCAGCTAGATGAAAATGTCCATGATGATAGCACCCTTAATCCATCTCAGAACCACGAGTACACTAAGGCATTTGCCTGAATCTATCATGCCCTTTACTACAAGGTATTTTATTCCTTTCCCACTGAAGATAATTTTTTTTTTTTAAGTTTTGGAGCTAATTTAAATTGGTAGACCTTTAGAAGTGCTGATTTGAGAATGTTGATTTATGGGTCTGTTTACATTGTTGGAATATGTTGACTAACTTATCCATGCTATTTAAAAATACTACCTGTAGTATCGAATTTTATTTAAATTAATATTTCTACATGAATCATAGACTATTTTTTCAGAATATATCATCTCACTTCTCTTTAAGTTCTTTAAGTTACAGCATATTTTAAATCTATAGATAAAAGTGAAATTGATTTTTTTTGTATTTAATTTCTTTATTTGTCATGTTTACATCAGTTGTGGTCCCCATAAAATTTCCACCACCAATTCACTGGTGCACCATCACCTTGGTATCTTGTGCTCTTCCCGCCCTCACATGAACCCTCCCCTGCAGAATGTCTCCAATTTATAGTTGTCTGATTGTTTTTGTTTAGTTTTGTTGTTGTTGTTTTTTAATTGTTATTATTTTCCCCTGATACCTTATTTGGTTCCCTTATAGTCCTCCTTTAAGTGAAACCAGCCAATATTTTTTTTCCATCTGACTTGTTTCACTGGGCTTAATCCCTTCTAACTCTATCCACGTTGCCGCAAATGCCACTAGATTATCTTTTTTTGCTAGTATTCCATTGTGCATATGTGCCACTTCTTCATGATCCGGTCATCTTTTGGGGGACATTTGGATTGTTTCTAAGTCTATAAATAGAACTTCAGTAAACATATGGGTGCAGGTATACTTTTGAATTAATGTTTTTGTGCCCTTTGGTAGACCCCTAGGAGTGGAATTGCTGGGTCAAATGGTAGCTCTATTTTTAGTAATCTGAGGAACCTCCACACAGCTATCCGTAGTGACTGGACTAGTTTACACTCCCACCAGCAAGTGTAGGAGAGTTCCTTTTTCATTACATCCTCACCAACATTTGTTGTTGTTAGTTTTTTAAATATGTGCCATTCTTACTGGTATCTCATTGAAGGGTATCATTGGTTTTGATTTTATTTTTGCATTTGTTGCTAACATTTTGTTCATTTGTCTGTTGACCATTTGCATTTCAACTTTGGAGAAGTGTCTTTTGAGTTCTATTGCCCATTTTCTTATTGCATTATTTACTTTGCTTTTCTTGAGTCCTGTGAGTTCTTTGTATATTTTTGTGATCAATACCTTATCAGTTGTGTGAAGTGCAAAAATTTTCTCCCAATTAGTAGAGTACCTCTTGTTTTGGTTAATCTCTCTTTTACTGTACAGAAGCTTTTAAATTCAATTTAGTCCCAGCTGTTTATCTTTTCCTTCATTTTCTTAGCTTTAGGAAATGAGACTTTAAAAGATGTTACTGAGGCCCTCCCTGGTGGCGCAGCGGTTAAAGCACAGCACTGAGAAGCTAAAGCCACTTCCACATGAGTTCAATTCCCACCTGCCCCAGAGGTGACCACATGGCGTGGCAGACCTCTCCTGACCCGCCCGCTGCTCCCCTCAGCAGTGTACTTCATAGATCTCTCAGTTCTGCTCCCTACTCTGTCTCTGGTGAAGCCTCTCGCCGCCCCTGAGCCTCTGGCCTATACCCCAGCTCTGTATGCACAAATAAATGAATCTTTAAAAAAAAAAAAAAAGATGTTACTGAAATGTATGTGTTGTTGTGTTTTACCTGTACTTTCTTATATATTTTTTATGGTTTCAGGTCTTATGTTTAGTTGTTTTTATCCATTTTGATTTGATTTTTGTAAAGTGTGTAGGTAGTGATCTAGTTTTATTCTTTTGCATGTGGTTTCTCAGCACCATTTATTGAACAAACTATGCTTGTTCCAATGTATGTTCTTTGTTGCTTTGTCAAAGATTAGTTGTCCAAATATATGTGGCTTTATTTCAGGGCTTTCTATTTGGTTCCATTGATCTGTATGTCAGTCTTTGTTACAGTACCATGCTCTTTCAATTATGGCTTTGTAGTATAGTTTCAAGCGTGAGGGTATCATACCTCCATTCTTCTTTGTTTTAGATCAGGAGAGCTTTGACTGTTTGAGGCTTTTTGTGTCTCCATGTTACCTTCATCAGTATTTCTCTATTTCTTTGAAGAATGTCATTGAGATTTTTATTGGGGTAGTGTTAAATCTGTAAAGTGCTTTTGGTAGGATGGCCATTTTTATAGTTAATTCTTCTACTCCATGAGCAGAAGGTGTCTCTCCATTTCTTTGTATCTTCCTATATGAAACTGAAATTTTTATACCAAGCCACATGGCATTAGAACAACTTTTTTTCATTTATCCCTTAGTGTAGTGTCATTAATCCTGTAATGTAAATTGCATATTATATATTACATTGATCATAAAAAGTATTTTTTATCCACCAAATAATGCTGGCAACTGTAAAGTCACATTCTTAACCAGAGTGAAGTAAAATCTTTTAAAATATTGTTTTTCATCCTTTTTTAAATTTTTATGAAGATTATTTCTTATAAGCATTGCACACCAACCTTGATTGCTGCTGTTTGAAGCCAGTATTTCTTCCCCAAACAGCACCTGTGATTCAATAAAGGAATTAAGAGAGTCTCTCTTAATAAAAGGGAGTTTATAAATCTAGACTATAAAGCAACTCCCACTCATTCAATAACAGTGGGGGGGAAGCTTCTCCTACTTGGAAAATTACTGTAAGTTAATTTCCTTTAAAAAAAAAAAGAATCCTTTCCTTCTTTACATCAATATGATGATTAGAAAAGTAAAAAAAAAAAAAAAGGAGTATGTAGAATTAAGGAGTAATCAAAATATGATCAGATTAAGCACAACTTTACAATTGTCTGGTCATAAGAAGTGATGGATGTATTTTCTTTGTGAGTTTCTTTGTGAGTTAAAAGAAACTTCTGTTTATTTTGCTTGCTGCAATAATTATAGGTCTCTCTCTAATAATTAGAAAGTTGCATGTGGGAAAGAGCAAAAATTTGGTTTAGTTGGAGTAAGTGGATCAATTTGGAAGAGAAAGTAAGTTGAATTTGACACATGATTTTGATGGCATTAAACCCTAAAGTGTTTTGGTGCAATTAGCAATTTATTCTATTTTGAAGTATACAGCCTCCTTGTTTTCTATATTACATCCATAATTTTCATATTTATGTATGTTTCAGGCTACATTATTGGAATTTTGAAGACATGAAAACATCAGAGGAGCCAACCTGCAACATCTTGAATTCAGTTTGGAAGATGAAGAGAAAGTTTAAAGAATGTGGCCTATAAAGGCGGGTAGTACCTGGAAATACTAATCGACTCATGTTGAAAACAATGAGACCAGTTTCTAAGCAGTAGAGTTTATTTAGTCCAACATCAATGTTGAACTAAAAACATTACACTCCTCCCCTCCCCACTTCAGACAGGTACCAGCATTGGTAAATATGATTCTCCTTAATCAGAAGCACTTATTTTTACCCATGTAGACCATCGTTAGGAATAAAATTTTGGTTATTTAATGTAGTTTATAATGGGAAACTGATTTTTTCCCACTATGGCAGATTTCAAGGACTTGGTTCTAAACTGAGCCGAAGCTTCCCAATGCATTTTGTACAGTCTGAGAAAAACTGTGCTGCATTGGCCATTTTTGAAGGCCACCATGCTCTGTAATATAAGGATATCATCTTATTGCTGATATCTTTGGAGAGTCCCAAGCAGACACAGAAAATGAATGGAGGCAAGGAGTGTGACGGAGGGGACAAAGATGGAGGTCTTCCAGCTATACAAGTTCCTGTGGGTTGGCAGCGACGCGTGGATCAAAATGGAGTGCTTTATGTCAGGTGAGCTCTTATTCCTGCCTGTGTTACCTGCAAGATTGCAGTCCCAAGATTAAGGTGGTAGACTCTGTTTCTCTTTGAGGGAGTAAAATATCATGATGAACAGTGCCTGAAATAATACCAAATGAATTATCTTCATGCTAGAATTATTCAAGTGTTTTTGTTCTGTACAGTACTATTTTGCAATGTAAATTACCTCAGGTTTCTAGAGAGAATTTTCATGCATTGCTTGTATTTCAATTATTAGACTTCCTAATACCTGATATTAACTAAAAGTGATTTCCTCCATTTGTTCTATTCCCTTGCACGTAATAATAAAAAATTAAAAGTCATGATGGTGATGGCTCTTATCTTACAAGTAAAAATCATACAACTAAAATGCAAAAGCCTGATCTTTTAAATATAAGTGGCATGTTAATTCTTCTAGAACATGATGAATAGAATAACTGAACTGTTGGCCAGAAGGTTTAATATTATTATTAAATGACTAAAACCTAAATTCCTTCTTTGTATTTTTCAGTAAGCATATGAAAGGTTAAGATACCAAAATCTTTATTTGAATATAATTTTGAAACTATCAGAAATAGATGTAGCTTTTTAAAAGCAATCACATTGCATCTTTACAAAATGCAGTTACTTTCAGTGTGGTTATTTTTATCACAGTTTCAACAGAAGTCTCCATTTGTGCAAAGTTGTATTTCTATAAATGAGGTGTTTCCATTAAACACAAGTGATTTCAAGCCATAACAACTCAGAAAAACAGTTAAGATTCTATCCTGCCTAATATGTTTCATGTAAGATATTTCTTGAGTTAAATTTAATTTGCACAAAAGTATTTTGTTTCTTTAGTATTAAACATGTGCTCTGTATTACTTGTAACAAAGGGATGGGGAAGCAAGGAACATGGAGCTCATCCCTTAATAAATAAGAACACATCATTTTTCCAACATGTTCCCATTGCTAATGGTGTTAACACATTGCCAGAAAGACTTTATTATATAAATAATATAGCAAGATGTCAATGTTGTTCTTATATAGTGTTGTTCTAGCTTACAATAAGCAAATATATTCTTAAAGTTACTCTAAACTCTTGATAATTTAATTTTTTACTTTTTTTATCCCTATGAAAGATAGGTCAGCTTTTCAGATTGTTAAGAGTTAATATTTCATTAAGTCTGGGAATCTTTCATTTATTTTATTCTATGATTTTCCATATATAGCTAGACTTTACTCCTAAGTTACTGTTAGTGTGAATTCTAAAAATCAAATCTGTATTAGAATTATTTTAGACTAACTTTGCCCAAAAAAAAGGTATTTTTACCTTCAAGTAAACTAAGCCAGCATAGGTTTGTATATGAGGTTAAATTACTACTTGAAAACATAACTATAGCTGCCTTCTCAATGTGCAGTTTGCTTGTAACTTTTAGGTTAGTCTCCAGCTGCTCCTGCCTAAGGGTGGCATTGAGGCTACACATTAAATTTCCCACCTGCTTCTAATCTTCTAAGCTTTATCTGTGCCATAAGACTTGTAACTATTTTTCACATTAATTATTACTCCCAAAAGTTAATTAAAGAGCTACAACTGACAGAAAGAAACTAACTGACTGATTGAGAGGAAGTGTTTTAAAAGTGTCTAGAGAGGAGTACTCTAATAGAATTCAGGAATTCTTGTCTTCAAATTTAATCTTACAATTAAATTCCTCTAAGATGCAGTCTGTATGCTTCCTTTAACTGTAAGATGCTAGGCAATTTCTTTTCACAAAATGTATTAATTCTCCACATAACTGGTGATTTAGTTTTATAAAAATTACCAGACTTCCAAAAACATTTCATTGTTCCCACTGATAGGTGAAATCAAATATGTAATATGGGAATTATTATTCATTACATAGCATGAGGGAAAATATGTTAGCCTAAATAAATTATTAAGTTGACAAAGTTGAGGATTTTGGTTGAGATTTTTCTACATGTATAACTCACTTCTAAAACTGTCTATAAATAATATATGAATAGCATTTTAAAACTTGTTCATTTATAGATAACAAAACTACTGCCTATGGTTTTATAATCAGAAAGTCTACCCCCAATAGTTTAATGCTTTGTGTACAAACTACAGGATGCTGTTTTTAGATAAATTTTACCAGAAGACTTAAGGGAAAGTTTTAGCAAGTACTAGTAAATTAAAAAAAAAAAAAATCCTGAATGAAAAGTATCATTTTCAAAGCATCATATATAGATAAGTTGTAAAATCAATGTAATAATAAATTTCTATGCATTGTCCATTCATACAAAATCCTACCATCTGATTAATAAACTTAATCAGTAATTCACATATCATGCTGACTTTTGTGACTCAGAGTCATGGCAGTATTACCCAATTACCTGACCTACAGCTACTAAACTTATTTTCCTTTCTCAGCACAGTTTGACTCTTCACTATCATTTGAATTGGCCACACTAACCTAACTTCAAAAAACTCATGTTCAGTGAGAAAAAAGAAAAATCTGTTTTTACATAGGATCAACATGGTTGTAGCTCTAACATTAAAGGGAATAATTTCTTAGTATACACTTAGCATTCTTCTGGTTTTCCTCCAACATGTTTTTAAATTTCAGTTTTGAAAGTATATCTTGTAAAATGATAATGATTACTTTCATGTAGTTTTCTTGGTCCTTTCTTGTCTGCTCTGTCATTTCTTTTAGGATACTATTTCCCCAGCGTTACTGCGTTCTGTTTTCAATACTTTTGTTTAATTTTCTATCAAGATCTGATTTTCCCTGAGAAATACATGGGTTCAAAAGAAGGAATGATGTGTGAAAGGCTAGGATTTAGTAGTTGATGTAAATATTGACCAAAAAAAAGTTTTTCCTGAGTGGGAAAATATTTTCCTGTTAAGGGCAGTAAGACTATAATTTATCTTTTTTCATAAGTATGTGTAGTCAGAATTATTTCCTGATGTTTTCTTAAACTATTTTTACAGTCCCAGTGGGTCTTTGTTATCTTGCTTGGAGCAGGTTAAAACATACCTGCTTACTGATGGAACATGCAAGTGTGGCTTGGAATGTCCTCTTATTCTTCCCAAGGTAACAATTCACAGTAGATCTATCAGCAGTTTTATTTTTCAGGCATTTCACATATTTGCTTTCCTTTGTTTGATATTTCATTATTATATTACTTCTTCAATCATGTGTATTTTATACTTTTTATCTAATTACATGTCACATGCTATTTGGAAGGATTAAAGGATATAGAAAACAGTTCAAAATAATTTGTATTTCAAATATGACAAACCTGTATTCATATTGCATATCTATTTAAAATATCTTTGCATCTTTTTATTAGAGCTATACTCATTCTCAGCACTTAGTAATGAGTATCTGTTTGCACTACTGTGACAGTACTACTGTTTGCACTACTGTGACAGTATCTGTTTGCACTACTGTGACAGTAGAATCTGCAATATTTTTAGTGCTGATGCTATACCACTGGTGTTAAATTACTGCCACGGATACTCTTATTATCACAAAACTGAACCCTCCTAGCCAAAACATGAAACTGCTTTTACTCCTTTGCAGGTAAAAAGTTTTTTAAGAAAAAAGAAATTTAAATGATAAAATGTTGTTTATTTTTATAAAGATAGGTCATTAGTCTCTGAGTGTCTACGATAGTGCTGATTTTAGAACTAATGCTTTTTTCTTTATACTTGTGTCTCATTTAAAAGAAAGCATTTGAAAGAGCCTGCAAATATATACATAGTAAATAATATTTTGCAATGATATATATCGTAACATATTTTTTAATCAATGAAAAGGTAATATAGTAATAAAGTCAAAGAAAAAGTTAACATACAGTAATGTCAGCCTTTACGGTTTTTTTAGTATACTTCATCTGTTATTGTAGTATTATAACATCAGGAACTATCTAAAGTTGGGACCGTTGTCAGATATTATGCCTTTCTATGCGTTTATTTTAGCTATATTAGAATTGGAATAATTTTCAGCCTTTGCCCTTGAAAGCTGTGAGCTCAAAACAAGTGTTAATTAAGTTATATAAAGTTCTTTTCTTAAATTTAAAAACTTCAAAAGATTTTTTTTGGATTTATTGCTTAATCGATGCACAGCTGTTTTTTAAGAAGGTCTTTTTATTTACTGTTTATTTGTTTTTGCAGACATAGTCTAAACAAATCTGTGCTTTTTCCAGGTGTTTAACTTTGACCCTGGAGCTGCTGTGAAACAGAGAACTGCAGAAGATGTTAAAGCAGATGAAGATGTCACAAAGCTATGCATACATAAAAGAAAAATCATTGCAGTGGCCACACTTCATAAAAGCATGGAAGCTCCACATCCTTCTCTGGTGCTCACCAGTCCTGGAGGAGGAACAAGTATGTAATATGTTGAAGGGTTTAGGAATTTTCCACCCTCATTCCTCTCCTAGCAGAGGAGTCACTAGAAAGCACTTTACTGGATATTTTCTGAGTCCACTTTTTAAATTTGCACAAGTTTTAAAAGTTATGTATGTTTGATCATTTATAACAAATAGCAGATTAGCTCAGAAAAATCCCCATAAAATTGTCTCCCAGAATTTTTAATGCAAATCATCTAGTTTAACATGCAGGATAAATATAGATCAGCACATACAAATACTATGCAAGTATGTAGATATGAGTTAACAAAGGAGAAAGTACCACTGATTTTTAGGAAACAAATGTAACCTTTTTCCTAGATCTAAATTAGAATATGCTGTATCAAATCCTCAAATACAGCTAGCTATATATTTTGGAGAAACTGCAGTGTTACTCTTTATGTCACTTAATAGCTGTTTATCAACAACAACAAGTTTATCAATCAACTTGCTTTTTATATTTCCCTAGCATATACACACACACAGACATACATTTCCATTTTCTTAAAATTTCAAAGCTGCAGAAAAATTGTATTGTCTTTGGATACCCATATACCCTCGCCCTAGACTTACTAATGAACATTTTACTGTAGAAGTTGCAGATATTGGGGTAATTTACAGTTAAATATTTCAACAAGGATGTTCTACATATTCACAGTCTGTCACAATTTGGAAATTTTATTCTGATATAATATACTGCCTAATATGCAGTCTCTGTTCAAATTTCTCCAATTCTCCTAATAATTTAGTATAGCTTTCTAAAAATCCAGTCTCTTTTTAATCCAGGATGCAAAGGTTGTGCACAGCAATTAGTTGTTAACAGTTCTTTAATCTAATCTACATCAATTCCTCAGTCTTTTTAAATTTTCGTGATACAGACAGTTTCAAAGTTCAGGCCATTGTTACTGAACGTTGGTGAGTTTGGATTTCCCTGATCATTATATTCGATATATAGTATCTCAGTAATAGTATGGCTTCATTATTAAACATATAATATACATTTATCCCACGCTGATGATGTTAAATTGTATTGCTTGACTGAAGTTAAATCTATCCTGTTTCTCTATTGGTATACAACCTTTCCCCTTTATTAATACAGAATTATACTTGAGACTAGGGAACTTCTCATTGTATGGGCTAGAATATGAACTCCCTTCAAAGTATTACAGTCTACTTTGCAGCTGAATAGTAATTCAGATGAAATATGGCTAAGTGCCAAAGCACTTATTTTAAAGGATAATTGATATTCTACAGAATTTTGAAAAATAAGGATAAGTATAATCTGTGGTGATCAAAAAAGGCTTTATGGCAGAACCAGCCCTGGAAAATGGTAGAGTTTATAAATGTAAGGCATATCCAAAAATATTTTTCATTGAATGATTGTGGCATCATTAAGGGATGATGTAGAAATAATCTACTTGAGTGGAAGTTTAAACACGTATAGGTATATGGAATCCAAATTATTGACAGCCAGCACTAAGAGTAGCAATTGTGATAGCAATTGATGTTGGTACTTAAGAGTCACACTTAGAACTTACATGAAGAGGGCAGGGAGAAGTAAATTTGGCAGATTTTATAAAGATCTCCTTGCCAATAATCCTAACCTTTAAACTTTAACAGGAATGATCAGAAAAAAATTGCTCCACTAAGGTATGTAAAAAAAACCTTTTAGGGATTTTTTTTTTCTTTTAATGAGCTGCAATTAAATCAAAAATATACTCCAATAATTTTTAATCGTAATAAATTATTTAAAACTTGCCTTTATCCTTTACATTGGTGTAACTGTTTTCATGTTTATTTACTACCTTTCACCAAATTTGTTTATGTATGCTCTTTTCCGCTACTGTTCTCACAACACATTCTAAAAAACAGTTTTGTCTCTTTCTACAGAGTGTGTCTCACTGCCTTTTCACGGCCTTAACAAAATCTTAATCCTGGCTCTTTTTATATCCAATCTGTACAAGTTTCATTAATGAAATTAATAATAAATATTGGAAAATTACAGGTAAAAGAGGTATCTCACCATCCCCTTTTAAAATGTATATGCTTTATTACATTAATTGTAATCTTTTACTAGCTTTTAGGTGGCATTTATTTCAATTTCTTCACTTTAATTATGCTGTCATAAGGCTGAGATTTAAATAATTAAAAGTTACAAATAAGCATATAGTAGAGAATAAACTTTTAGTTTATGTTTATTCTTTTGAAAGATCTACATGAACATATATGAAAAGATTTGATAGATGCCTAGCTTTTATATTTGCCAAATTTGTTAATAACTTTATTCCCTATCTATAACATAGCATCTATGTGATTTTTGTTTGTTTTTATTAGTGTTCTATCATTTTAAAGATATTTTTTCCTAGGTAGCTGCTATCTAAAATCTTTTGAGTTGAAGATAAAAATACTGATATCTTATTTTTAATCATTGCATGAAAGGTAACTATATAAATACTCAAGAAGACACAAATCAGTGGTTTTGTTATTAAAGAGGACAGAGTAAATTCCATGATAATGTTATTCATATTAATACAGACAACTATAGTTTTATATATTATTTAATCATATACTTTAAAAAATCTCTCTTTAACAAGAAAATAAGTCCAGTTTAATTATATCATTGGTTTTCAACTTTTTAATGTATTTTTTTTTTAAGATTTACTTATTTTATGCATACAGAACTGGATATAGGCCAGAGGTGCAGGGGCAGTGAGAGGATTTACCAGAGTCACAGTAGGGAGCAGAGCAGGCCGACTGACTAAGTACATTGCTAAGAGGAGCAGCGGGCAGGCCAAGAGAGGTCTGCAGCGCCGGGTGGATCATCCTCTGGGGCAGAGATCGAACCCATGCTTAAGTGGCTTTAGCTTCTTAGTGCTGCACTTTAACCCACTGAGCCACCAAGGAGGGCCCAACTTTTAATATATTTTAACCATAAATCACTCTATCAAAGGATCTCCAACATGCTAGAAACAGAGAACCCATATTTTTAAAAAATGTAAGTTCACCACATTCTTACCCATAAACACACCCTATCTTGACTTCTGGGTACCCCAGGTTTAGAACTGCTGTCTTAGAAATTATTGTGATATGCTTTGACCTGTATACAAGTATAGTTAGTTAAAATGTACAATTTTCAATTTGAGTAACTAAGTGCACATACTAATAATGTTGGCTTAGCATAGGGATGATGTCAATCTTCTCTCCTGTGCCTGTATGAAACTCATTGGCATTTTCCCACCCAGCCTAGCCAGAGCCCTCCTTCATTTCAATACATCTCTCTAAACAGCTAACATCAGTTGATGGTAATTGACATATACAAATTTTTATTTTTTTAAATTTTTTTATATATTTTAATTGTTTTTTAAGATTTATTTATTTTTGTATACAGGCATAAGGTGCAGGGGTGGTGAGAGTATTCACCAGAAGCAGAGGTGCCAGGCCAGAGGTGCAGGGGTGGTGAGAGGATTCACCAGAGACAGAGCAGGGAGCAGAACAGGCAGATCGACAAAGTACACTGCTGAGGGCAGCAGCAGGCGGGTCAGGAGAGGTCTGCCATGCCATGTGGACACCTTTGGGTATGGGAATCGAACTCACACTGAAGTGGATGTGGCTGGCTTGCAGTGTTGTGTCCTAACCTGTTGCGCCACTAGGGAGGGCCGGCATATAAAAATTATTTTCCATTCATCCCTATTTCGGAAGGTGCAACTTTATAAAACAGATATCTGTAGTGGCTAAAAAAAACTTAAGCCTAGAATTCTGACCTGATAGAGTGAAAACTCTGTATGATGGGCCAGCTTTGCATTTGTTGTTTGCATTCTGTCTGATCTCCAAAAGAACTGAATGAAAGGGTGCTAAAAGCTAGGAAGGGAACAGTGTACTCTGTGTAAAGAGAATCCTCTATTAAAACCTAGTACTAAAGATTTTAGTACTATAAATTTTGCATAAGAATTCTATCCTAATAAAAGAATTGCAATATTTTACCTAAGTTGGTTGATGAAAGCTGTTTTTCAAGTAATGACTGATTAAGGGCAAAGAAATTGCACGTTACAGATTTAAATGTGAAGCTAATCATGATCACAATATCACTGCATTTACTGATCTCCTCACTCTCATTATAAAAGACTCAGAATCACATTCATTTAATTCCTAATAATTAAGACTCTTTTATTCTCACAATGAAAATGTTAGAATGAGAAAGTTTCTGTAGATGTCCTGAGGAGGTTTCAATGAGTTAACAGAAACAACATGTAGGGTAGCAGATTTTCTGTTGAGAATGGCAATTCAGTTCAATCACCTAAGAAAATATTATGCCACACAAATAATAATTTTTATCATAACCATGTTAAAAAAAATTCGAAGGAAAGATGATTATAGCAACATTATATCCGTCAATCTTCATTTTGCATATTCTAAATAGCATTAGCATGGCAAAATCGGTATGTACTGATTCAAAGCCCTATCCTTTCTCAACAGTTAAGAGGCAACCAAGCATAACAAACACTTAACTGCAAACCTTGGTTCAACTAAGGGAGAATAATGCGTGTGTTTTAAATCATAATTTATTGTGGCATATAGAACTTCTTTTTAATTCCATAGAGTCACACGAGCTATTTGCACATTTCTACTTCCAGACACCCTCCCTTTCTTACTTCCTCTTTTCCTTCTTTTCCTCCCACAGAACAAAAGAATTGAGACTACTAACAAATTTTTATTCTTTCTTTCACATCAGATGCAACTCCAGTGGTACCTTCCCGGGCAGCAACTCCAAGATCCATAAGAAATAAGTCTCATGAAGGAATTACAAATTCTGTAATGCCTGAATGTAAGAATCCTTTCAAGTTAATGATGGGATCATCAAACGCCATGGGAAGGCTATATGTACAAGAATTGCCCGGAAGCCAGCAACAAGAACTCCACCCTGTCTACCCCCGGCAGAGATTGGGCAGCAGTGAACATGGGCAGAAATCTCCATTTCGTGGCAACCATGGAGGCCTGCCTAGCCCAGCGTCATCAGGTTCCCAGATATATGGAGATGGCTCAATCTCTCCAAGGACTGACCCACTTGGAAGCCCTGATGTTTTCACAAGAAACAATCCTGGTTTTCATGGAGCACCCAACTCTAGTCCTATTCACCTAAATAGGACTCCTCTTTCTCCACCTTCAGTAATGCTTCATGGTTCTCCTGTACAGTCATCCTGTGCAATGGCTGGAAGGACTAATATACCTCTTTCCCCAACATTGACTACAAAGAGTCCAGTAATGAAAAAACCATTGTGTAATTTTTCAACTAATATGGAAATACCACGAGCAATGTTCCACCACAAACCACCCCAAGGCCCACCACCCCCTCCTCCACCTTCTTGTGCTCTTCAGAAAAAGCCATTAACATCTGAGAAAGATCCACTTGGCATTCTTGACCCTATTCCTAGTAAACCGGTGAATCAGAACCCTGTTATCATTAATCCAACTAGTTTCCATTCAAATGTCCACTCTCAGGTACCTGTGATGAATGTAAGCATGCCTCCTGCTGTTGTTCCTTTGCCAAGTAATCTCCCTTTGCCAACTGTAAAACCTGGTCACATGAATCACGGGAGTCATGTACAAAGAGTTCAGCATTCAGCTTCAACCTCCCTGTCCCCTTCTCCAGTGACATCCCCAGTGCACATGATGGGGACTGGAATTGGAAGGATTGAGGCATCGCCCCAAAGATCACGCTCATCTTCCACATCATCAGATCACGGAAATTTCATGATGCCACCTCTAGGACCCCAGGCCACTTGTAGTGGTATTAAGGTTCCACCCAGGTCACCAAGGTCAACAATAGGGTCCCCAAGGCCATCAATGCCATCAAGCCCTTCTACCAAGTCCGATGGACATCATCAGTACAAGGATATCCCTAACCCATTAATTGCTGGAATGAGTAATGTACTAAATACCCCAAGCAGTGCAGCTTTTCCAACTGCATCTGCCGGAAGTGGTTCTGTAAAGAGTCAGCCTGGTTTGCTGGGAATGCCTTTAAATCAGATCTTGAACCAGCACAATGCTGCCTCCTTTCCAGCAAGTAGTTTACTCTCAGCAGCAGCCAAAGCACAGCTAGCAAATCAAACCAAACTTGCTGGTAACAACAGTAGCAGCAGTAGCAATTCTGGAGCTGTTGCTGGCAGTGGCAACACTGAAGGACATAGCACTTTAAACACCATGTTCCCTCCTACTGCCAACATGCTTCTCCCAACAGGTGAAGGGCAAAGTGGTCGAGCAGCACTAAGAGATAAGCTGATGTCTCAGCAAAAAGACTCATTGCGGAAAAGGAAACAGCCTCCTACCACAGTGTTGAGTTTGCTCAGACAGTCTCAAATGGATAGTTCTGCAGTTCCTAAACCTGGACCCGACTTGCTAAGGAAGCAGGGTCAGGGCTCATTTCCCATCAGTTCAATGTCTCAGTTACTACAGTCTATGAGTTGTCAAAGCTCTCACTTGAGTAGCAATAGTACCCCGGGTTGTGGGGGTTCAAATACTGCTTTGCCTTGCTCTGCTAACCAGCTGCATTTTACAGATCCCAATATGAACTCCAGTGTTCTACAGAATTCACTGACACAGAATATACCTTTAAGAGGGGAAGCCCTGCACTGCCACAATGCAAACACTAACTTTGTTCACAGTAACAGTCCAGTCCCAAACCACCATCTTGCAGGTTTAATAAATCAGATTCAGGCTAGCGGGAACTGTGGGATGCTCAGTCAGTCGGGCATGGCTTTAGGAAATTCATTACATCCCAATCCACCTCAGTCAAGAATATCAACGTCCTCCACTCCAGTGATACCAAACAGCATTGTTAGCAGCTATAATCAAACAAGTTCTGAAGCAGGTATGGTTTTATTAGAAAAAAGTACCCAAAGGTACTAAACTTTTCTACGTTTTTTAAAATTTGTACCAAAATATTTATTATGATAAGAAATGGTCCTTTCCCATTGTGAAATTCTCATCATTTCTTAAGTATTTATAAATTTATTTACAGAATACTAGGGATTTGTCTATTAGAAAAAATAACAGCCAAGGAGATTCCATGTGTTTCCGTTATTTGTTGTCAATCTGTGTCATTTTGAATATTGTTCACTTTTAGTTGGTTTTATAACCAATGGACTCTAAACTACACAAGAAGCCATAAAAGGCAGGGTTTCCTGGTTCATGAGACATGTACTTGGTCTATGCCAATATAAAAGCCGTTTCCCCTAGCTTTTGTTTGTATTCAGGTAAATGGAGCTCATCTTGGAAAACCCAAAAAGGCAAAAATAAAAGGATTTTTTTTTTTTTTTGTTCTTGCTGCTGACCAGGAATAGGTGAATGGATAGGAATTGGTAACTAGAAGTTGTATGAAATAGGAAGTTGTCTTCTAATGTGTTTTCTTATTCTAGTTTGCTATCCTTTATTATTATTATTTGTTTGAGAAAATTCAAAAATGGATTTTGGCCACTCCCTTTCTAAAAAAAAAAAAAGCTATTAATTTAAGTTTTCTAATAAAAAAGGCTTGAAAACTTGATTTCCAGAATTTTGGTCTTGAAACTATTTTACAATTTTCTTGTAGAACTAAACCATTATTTTTACCATTAATATTAAGGTTTTGAACCCAAATTTACTGCATCTTTTCATTCACTATTAATGAAGGAGACAATTTTACTTAAAAGTAGACACATTAGAAAGAACTGTGTTTTGTGCAATAGAGTCCTCAGACATTGGTATAAAAACTGTAAAGAAGCACTAGAGAGGTAAATTCATTGAGACATCAGGAATTTTTGACCATGAAAACATTAGAAAGAATACCCGAAACCCAACACTAATGGTTTAAGAAATTTGTGGGAAATAATGGGGAAATAAAAGCTGATAGTAGAGACATTATTATTCAGATATGAAAACAGTGGACATTAAAAACTACATTGCTACTGGATATGAGAAAACTGCTGAAGCTTTTAATAATAAGCTATCTTGTAGATTTGTAGTCTGTATTATACCACCATGTTGGGAGAACATTATAACCTTTATGTCTTTGTTGCTGATGGTAAACTCAAGTATTTTCCTTCCTAGTGTCACTACTTCTACCTGCCATCCTCCACAACTTGTGTTATGTGCTATGTTTGATGTCAGTATTTGATGAAAAATTGTTTGTTGGCCTCTTGTGTTTAAAAGAATATAAGGTTGAGAAGATAATTGAAATTATTAGTGCCTTCTTGATATTCCTAGTTTAAGTAATCTGATGAAGCTGTTTTTTTAATCTGTTTAACAGGATCCTTATTCCAAAGGGGCTTCCAGTTTTTCAATGACTCATATTCTTTGAGATAATTTTAGAAATTCCACACAAATGAAATTTTAATCTTATGCATTTAGAGATTAAAGTTATATTAAATCAGTAACTTTTTTATATACATAATATTTATTAAACATAGTTTCAATCATTTACATGAGACATTTCTAGTCTCATTGTATATCTTTAAATCTTGATACCCTTTACCTCAGTTTATTTTGTTTCAGGTCTGAGTTCATATTGCAAAGTGTATGTATTTTTTAATGATGTATTTCAATTCATCTATAAAGGAAAAGACCAACATTTATTTATATTGTTTCTTCTAATTTTCAAGTTTAGACATATTTTATATAGTCTTGGATGTGTTTGTATCTTCTTGTTCTATGCATCTCTGTAAAACATCAGATTTAGAGTGCCAGTGCTGAGAGTGTCAAAACACAAGTTGAAATTTATTAATACAAGGCAAATATTAGCATATAAATGGTGAAAGGGACAAAAATAAGGGTCCAGTAATGATATGGATATGACCAATCATGTGTAAGCTAACAAAATATATGCATGGTTTTAAAAAGTAAGTAAATAGGAAAATTTTTAAATATTAAACTAATAAAATTAAATACTAATTAATGTATATAGATCTGATGTGCAGCTGGTTATGAAAATGGATAATTTACTAACTCATGTAACTCATCTGATGAACTGAATATTGAAGAGGTCTCTAATGCCATTTTTTTCCTTGGTATGTAGTGAACTATGTCAGTGAGTACACTATCATTGTAATTGCTTAGCTGAATAGTTATTTATACTGGTATTTATTCATCTATCAAATACGTGCCAAAGCTGAGCTTTTAGAGTGGGACAACAGGACAGACATAGCTACCCCTGTAGGTTTTGCTAGGTGTTACTATCAAGCAGTAATATAGTAGAAGAAAAACACATTCTAGTTTTGAAATGTTACTTAGTTATCTTTGAATACTTTGTTTGCCAGATAATTAACTATATTGCTTCTAATTTGTATGGTTTTCCAAAATATAAGGTACCACTGTCCCCATTTTCTAGATGAGTAAACTGAGTCTCAGAGAACTTAACTGTTCAAGATCATACATTGCTGAAATTAGGATTTAAACTCAGGTTTATCTCATTCTAAAAGCCATTTTCTTCCCAGCTGCATAAAGTATTCATCTGAAACTTTCAATGGTAAAAAAAACTTTCACTTTCAAAATCTTTTAAAACCTTAAAACCATCCAGCAGGTAATGAATTAAAGCACATTGATGCATATTAGCGCCATGTTTATAAATTATCGATGCACTTTTTAGACAAAAGTCCACTATCTCTTTCTGGACTCTAATACAGTGACTTAAAATGTTGGTGTTAGTGCACATGAAATGTTCAAAATACCAGGAGAGCTTCCCTTCCTTGTGAATCATATTTGGCAGTGTTTATTTTAATGAGTTGGTATCACCTCACTTACTCAAGCAAAAGTGGGTTACCTATTAGGTAAGGTGTCCATAGCTCTTCGAAGGAAATGGCTATGCAGATGCTAGTCCTGAGGACCCATGCATGATAGCACAGTGAGGGTAAAAGAGACCCACAGGTAACATAGTTCAGTACTGCTGTCTGGTAATAGAGTCTGGACAGAACTCAAGTGTCTTCCTTCTCAATCCAAGGCATTTTCCACTCTCCTAAGGAGCAACTGAACAATGTTACATTAATACATCAATTAAATACAGGAGATCTCTGCTCTGAAAATGCTTAATAAGATTGGTGGTTTATTTTCAAAAACTTCTCTTAAAGAGCATTTTTCTATCATAACAACCCAAATATTGATTTTTTAAAAGATTGTATCTGACTTCTATGCAACACATTTTAAATGTATTACAATTCAAATATAGGGAGTGGAGGTAAAGATAGTTTAAAAAAATAAAGTATTTTTTCAGAGAAAAGATACAAAATGCTTCCTAAAAAAATTTCTAAAACTTAGGCATATACAGGCTTTATTAGTTCTACTTGGTGTTTTGAAATTGCCTTTCCACTAAAGCTCTCTAAATACTTTGCACTGTAAAGTTTACAGGTTTCTAGTAGCTTTTTGGTTATCAAATTACAAGTAAAGTTTAATATTTTCATGTAACAGATTTAGAAACTGACCGGTAGGATACTTGGTGACATTCCTCAAGTTCTAAAGCAAAGCTCTGGTGGATCTGGCAATGAAACCCCAAAGTTCCTGATTCTCAGTGCAAACACTGAAACTAATGAATGCAGGTATGTTCTGAAGTCCATCACTAGTGTACATTTAAAGCAACTTTCAATTTTTGGAAACAACCTTTAGTACTTAAGTGGTTTCAGCACACGTTGACCTTCTGACTGCTGCCCACCTGGAACAAAACACACGTGCCAGTAACCTGGGCCTCTCCAAAGGACTTAGCCCTATCAGTGTCCACATGAGAACCCATCCCTTCTATGCCCCCATGGTTTTTCACAATTTCCAAAGAAACAAAACTTACTAATACTCTGCTAACTTAGTAACTGAACTGACCTACTCCAAAATAATAGTTATTAAATGTACTTTTTCACTTTAAAATGTTTTATTATATTCTCTTTTTTTCTAATAGAAAACATTTAATCGACTCTTCTAACCACATGAGAATATAATCCTTTGAAGGGGCAGAGTTTGAGTTTATACCAGAAGAAAAATTACCTAAGTGTTTATTTGTCTTAATTTTTAAAGATAGACATTGGCTAACAAGAGTAAACCTACAAATAAATTTATGTTCATGAATATTTATATATATTTTTAACCTCTGAAAAAGATGTTTTCTTTCAGCATAAAACACATTTGATTGAAGCTTACAGGCATTGATATGGTAGGTATAAGAAAACCAAGTAGTGAGACTACAAGAGAACACTTTGGGGGAAAAAACTGCAAAATAATGGACTTGGTTTTGGGGGGGGTGTTTTTTTTGTTTGTTTGTTTTGTACATATTTTCAGAAGACCCAGTTTAAAAATAAATAAAGGGAAATTATTCCCTACACTGAAATTACATGTGTTGAAAGATTATAGGATAAAATCTCAAGGGTGGATTATACTATATAAATGAACTCTTTCCAGATATGGGAAGTTTATGTAGAAATAATCTTCTAGTCTTACATAGAATGAAGTTTGTGACTAAATTAATACTAGTTGTTATGAAACCTGTTCCACTCAGATTTTTAAATACCTAGTTTTTATTCCCCCATCTCATACACAAAACTTTTAGGGTAAACATTGCCCTCTGCTCTTGTTTTCTAAACAAATACCAAAGTTTTATTAAATTCTCAATTGTGTGATTAAAATCTGTGTCATTTAGTTAAATTTTTGCAAAATGAGCCATTTCTTCTTTGCTGTAAGATTTTTTACAACAGACAATGCCTTACTGTTAATAACGTTTCCTACTATCAGGGTTACACCACTTTATTTACATATTCCAGATTTAATGTTTTCTTATGTACAAAAGGAATTAAAATGTTTGACTTTAGACCTTTTGTCTTTGTAATCAAAGGTGATAACAGAACTCAGAGTGGTATGACATGT